GATTGTTTCATGTAACTTAGTTCTCCCTCGCTGTGTTATGGGTTTGTTATGGGGATAAATGTGCTGTTATGTTCGTAACACAGCTGATTAGTACTCATGTCATTGATCGTAAAACAGTATGTTACAGGAATCACTAACCCGTCGATCTTGTAAGAGATCTAAGTCGATCGCGAAGAGTTTTCAAAATCAGAGAAAAGGCCTATTGTGTGTAGTTTATGGTGTCTATGGGATGCGGAAATGCGCACGCTGTTACAATCATGTCATTTTTGCCGCGCGCACCTTTGGGCTCATGCGGACGCGTCGAGTGTAAACAAGGCTTTATGCTTTAACCAGTTCAGCCACAGTAACAGCTCATATTAGCCAGCTAAACTTTTACTACCCTGTTAGAAAACATATATAGCTGCATAGTTTCATGTGGTTCTTCTCCCTCTCTGTATTATGGGTTTGTTATGTGGGGAGAAATGTGCTGCTGGTTACGTTTGTGAGACAATCAGCTGATCACTATTATTATATTAAATTATATTAAAACCCTTGATCCTCACCTGACTATGGCTTTGTAAACTGCATCCATGATGTGCTTTATATAATGGACTGTGGTACAGAAACAGTGACAATGTTACACACTCTTGTCTTACTCTGGCTATTCTCTGCTGTCTCAGCCGACGAGATGTTTGTCCCGTTTTAGCAACCGTAGCTTCTTCGAAAGGGAGGGGTGAGCAGTGGGCTGAGCCCTTAGTGCAAACCTGGTGCAAACTCGCAACCGAACCACTAGATGTCGCTAAAAATCCCACACTGCACCTTTAAACAGGCCTATGAAAATTTCCATTTAAAAAACCTGAATTTCGATGAATATTTTTCAATGCTCACAAATTCAGATACAAAAAAATAAAATAAATCAACGTACAGAATTTCAGATAAAATAGATTCAGGTTAAATTATGAATTATGGGCGTGCTTCTCAGAGTAGTAGCCATCAGCTTAAAAAAAACAATTTCTGCATCATTTGGCTTGTTTGCTGTACTCCTTGTCTCACAACAGCTTTTAAACATTGTTTTGTTTTTTGTTATAAGTCATAAATGAGAAGGAGGCAGCCTCTCGCAATGCAAATCAATGGAGACGGTTGGATTGTTTTTCTCCCCTGGTGGGGGCGTGAGCAGCCGGTAACAAGAAGTAGTCGAAGGAGAACGTCCTCGTCTCAGTTCTCGCGCATGTGCCCATAAGGAAGTAATGGAATAGTCGAATAAAGTCGTTATTTATGTTTTTTTCGCAGAAAAAGTAGTCTCGTCGCTTGATAAACTTATACAGGGTTCTCAAGTCTCACGCATTGGCCGTAAAACACACTCATTTCGAGCGGTTCACACGCTCACACGCCACACTGTGTATTTCTCACGCTGAAAAGGCAATGCCAACCAAGTTGTCCTGGCTGAAAGCTTTCTAACGTTGTATACGAGGCGCAGGCAAACAAAGTGAAGTTTCCTGCCGCCAGCGCGTATCTCCGCCAGATTGCGTTCGTTACTAGGCAACATATATGCGCGCTGCGTGCACCACTGATCTATACATGACATGTCATTCAGTAGCGCGAACACACGGAAATGGACGGAACATCCTCGGCCACCGTACGTTCGTTACTAGGTAACCAACAACATCGCGCGAACACATTAGGGTTGGGCGATATATCGAACGATATTGTTATGCGCATCTAATCAGTAAAGCCGGTTCCTTGATTAGCAGTAAATCACCTTCACATGCTTTCAAATGGACGATATGAGTGTTAAAGTTAATGAGATAATTAAGTGATTAATTTAGTGATGATTGAGCATTATTGAAGACACCTGATGATCACAAGCAGAATCGCTGAAGGACAAAATCACAAATTGTAAGCCACCGTTATGGAGATCAGTGTCTGCTTTAGTTGGGCTCTTGACACTTATACTTTCACTTTAAATTTTGTGTGTCTGCTGTTATTGATTAATAACAGTTATTGATTTATAACAGTCAAATAAGACATATTTGATCTTATAGTGTTGGTTATGTTTTGACATAATCATGCTGTGATCTGAAAAATGAAACTTTTCAGATGGTTTGGCTTAACTTGTTAGCAAGATTTTAGTGATTGTACTGTATATCTGTATTTTTCTTTTAACATAAATTAATTAATATTATTCTGATCCAATCACTTTCATGCTTATTTAGAAACACAGAGATCAATAATCAGCCTGTCTATCTCAACTGTGGTGGCGAAATTAATCCTTGTTGCCACCAATCACAGCTCATTAATGGCTCCCATCATGCATTGCGGTTTGAATAAATTATGATCTGAATTGTCTATGTAATTTACTTTTCCTACTTGAATATTCTACTCGTCACCGTTGTTGAGAAGCATTGACTGAATCTTGAGGTCTGTGTGTGCCTAAAGGAAGGTTTTTTTTTCTTTTAAGCAACTTTTGAGAAAACTGTCTATTATATTTAACATTCTGGACATTTATTTAGAATCTAAGTCATACACTAAGCAACAGAATAAATTATATGTTATAAATTTTATAAATAAACTTTATTATATATATATATATATATATATATATATATATATAATTACATAAATTTCAAATGATAAATGTCATTATATGACCTAAATCATTTTATTATTGTTTATTTTCGATCATCTAATAGATATAACTCAGATGCAACAGCAAATTAAAATATAAAGTTAATATTATAAGGGTGAAGAGCCCAACTAAAGCAAACACTCATCTCCATAACGGTGGCTTAAAATTTTAGATTTTTTCCTTGTGATTCTGCTTTAGGTGTCTTCAATAATGCTCAATCATCACTCATTTAATCACTTAATTATCTCATTAACTTTAACACTCTTGAGTGCGGACTCATATACACTCCCAGGTGTGTTAATTTAACACGGGAGATTTCGTCGTGACGAAGAGCCGTAGTTAACTGACCAGCGGAGCCATATCGCATTAAATATCGATATCGATATGTCCTCGATATTAACGCGATTTGGCTCAGCTTGTCAGTGATCTACGGCTCTTTGTAGTGAATGCCGCTCCATCTGAAAGCAGGTGAAGGTGATTTACTGCTAATCAAGGAACCGGCTTTACTGATTAGATGCGCATTCAATATCGTTCGATATATCGCCCAGCCCTAGAACACATGTGTCGTGATGGAGAAGAAGGTGAGTTGGAAGAAGCTCGTCTAACATTTTTGGGCTAGAACATTTAATATGTAGCCCATCGTAGATTATTATTGATGCAGTCAAAAACTCTACAACTACTTTGCAACCAGGCTCAGTTTGGCCATCTTACGTTATCTGAAACTAAGAGACATGTTAGTGAGTATGGAAAGGAATGAAGATTTACTGATTTTATTTTAAATTATATTATACTGTAATATTAATAGTCTTTCTAGTTACATTAAGGATGTATTACAGCAGATTGCTCTGGGTAATATTTAATCATTGTCATAATGTTGCATTTGTATTTTTCAAAGATGTCAGGAAAAAAGCAGAAAGATATTTTGTCATTTTGGGCACCAAAGGGTAAGCCCCCTAAAAAGGTTGCCAGATTAGAGGAGGAGACAGTGGAAGAGGTGGTGCACTCTAATCTGTCCATTTGTTCTCAATGTCCCACCACACAATAAATCATTCGTCTAGATAGAAGACGCATTCAAAAATCGAAATGCAATTTTTTAAAGATTTGTTTGAAACTGTTTGGAGCAATTTGTTATATTTTTGGTTAGCTATATTTGTAATACTGCATTAAAGAGTATTTGATGTGATGAATTGCTCTGTCATTTATCAGATTTACTAATTGTTATAATTTTAATTTGTTCTGGTTAATTATGAACAATGGGTAAAATTGGGGGCGGGGATGGGTGGGGGGTGCTTCATTATGGCTCCTCCCCTAACCGCGTGTGATCTCACTCCAAGCTTTTGCTCAAACTTGAGAACCCTGCTTATAATTGAGCCGCTGTAGTCACATGGAATATTTAAACATTTTCTTTAATGACTTTATGGGCCGTCAAGAGCCAGTCCCTTAGGCAGTCTATGAAGGAGTGATCCAGCTCTCAGATTCAATCAAAAATATCTTCATTTGTGTTCCGAAGATGAACGAAGGTCTTACAGGGTTGGTACAGGATGGGGGTGAGTAATTAATGACTTAATTTTCATTTTTGGGTGAACTAACCCTTTAAAGTCTTGTGCTGTTTTATAAAGGCACAAAGCCATATCATGGTTTCGATTTTAGTTTGTTGGCAAAATATAGCGCTAGAGACCTTTATGTTAAGGTATACATTTTACATCTCATATGTGTTGGGAAAAGGGAGAAGAGAGAGTTCAGAAAAAGACGGTTTCGAACTCGGGTCGAGAGCATCAAAAGCTTCAAGCCCTACGACCTGCGCCACCGTAGCTATTTCGTGACAAGCTTCTTTTGCTAAAAAGACAGACACTTAGTGCAAATATACGCTCCGTTATCTAAAAAGTAAAAAAAAAAATTCTTCCCCTCGCTTGGGCCCCAAGTGCGCATGGCCAACTTGCAATAAATAAATTTGATCAGATCGGCCCTCGCGGCCTCGAAACACAACCGGCCCACAGGGGAAACTCCCGACTCTCCCGATTGCCACTCCACCCCTGGTGCCCAGGGCCCCTTAGATGTCATGGGCCCCTGAGGCAAGAGCCCAGTTGCCCTAATGGTTAATCCAGCCCTGGTGGTCTGTGAATCTGGCCCCTCCTAAAAGGACATCCTTTACTGTTCTGATCTGACAATCTTTGGTGGTTGCCACCGGGTATTAATTAGCCCTAAGAGCATAATAATCCTTTATACACAACAACAATAAAATAGCACAATGACAGGATTAATATGGTATACCCACGTTGTAACAAATAAATAAAAGATCTTTTTCACAAAAGTTATCTTGCGCTTTTGCCTCCGGCATCGTCCTGTCAGTCATCGCACCTCACTCTAGTCATGTGACTCCTGTGGCTCAACTTACCTCAGTATCTCCAATTTACACTTTATATTCTTCAGTCCAGTGCAGAGCAGCTTCACTCCTGAATCCTGCAGTTTATTATTGTTCATGTTCAGCTCTTTCAGATTGGTATCTGATCCAAGAACTGCAGCCAGAGATGAACAGCTTTTGTCTGTTAAGTTACAATCATTTAACCTACAATAAAGTCACAACACAGAATTAGATTGTACACATACAATACATTTTCTATATACTAATATGAATGAAATTTTCCACTTATTTAATACATAAACAGCATATACAGCAAAGAGGCTGAGTTAAACTAACATTTACCTTTAAAAACTACAATTTCCTCAACAATAGTTTTTTATACAGTGACAAATTTCCAAGACAAAATGAAGCATGTTTGAAAAAATATTTGTGTAAAGCTGTTATATCTATAGGATATTTTCTCTATTTATGTCACCTGATAGAGTTTAGGTTCTTGCCAGTGTTGCCTCTGTCTTTCTTAATTGGGGACACTTAATATTAGGGGTGTGCACAAAAATTGATTCACATTTGTATTGCAATTCGCTTTATGCCCAGCTGCACTACTTTCTGAACTTCAGCCAGCTCCTTAGCCGTTTCTCAATATGCGTACTTGTCTGTACTTGTGTTCTTGTGGACTTGTGAAACGTCATCAGTCGCTGCCGAAGTACTGTTCCAATTCAAAGTTCGCATCTAGCCAAGTCCACTTCAAATCCCCGGATGTGTTCTTGATCCGCCCCGTTTACAGAGGATGCATCGAGAGGTGACTTGTGTGGACTTGAGATAGCCAGGTAACCCAGAATGCACCTCGCACCAACCAACAAGCGTCAATAGGAGAGGAGAAAATCCGCGAAATATCAAAATACTACTGTTATTGAGTCATGAAATGTAATTTTAAGAGTGTTTCAGGCGAGAATGTGGTTGTTTAAATCTCAAATCTGTAGTTTATTTATAAAGATAGTGCCTATCTGAAAAATGCATCAGACGTTTTCAGACTCGGAGTTCTGACATCCAAGCCTTCAGCGGACACTCAGCGAGATCAACCCCGACTGGAACAGCTTATCCTCGGCTAGTGCTTCTGACGTTTGCCGCCGGCTCTGATCTCTCTAGTCTAGTGGATAAACCTTATAATTCGTCTTGTGTATAAGTCTATCTTTGGTCTAATTAAACTATAGTTTGTTCCATAGTTTTGGAGGTTTCATAACGTTATGGCTATTTAACTTTAACAACATTTTTTTTTATATTATCTTCATTATATAAGCAATAAAATAAAATGACATAACCCTGTCTCTGTTTGATAAATGTCAATAAAAATCAATGTTTCATATTTTTAAAATGAGAACAAAAAGATCATGTTCATTTTGTTATAAATATATGCAGTGAAGAGAATCGCGTTGCCTGAACCACATGGCCATTAGGCTAATGTTGTTTTTTTGTTAATGAAAAGAGGCAGAGTGGTGTTTTATAACATATTTCGTTTTATTGTTGACGAAAAGATGCAGAGTTGTTGCAAATTTCGTTTTATTGTTGCCTAAAATATAGGCTATATATAGGAACTTGGAAAGTCTGAACTAGCAAGGACGCAAGTCCGAAGTCTGCGTACTTGGTATTGAGAAACGCCTACTGTGTAGGACAGTCGATTGGCAGGAGCAGGGTTGGGCACACCTGGTCTATATCAAGCAGGGTCACCTTTGTGTGCATTTTACTTTGTGATTTTATTGGAAAGAATAAAGAGTTTCCACAACGGCGATAGATTGAAGACGTGCGTCCGAGTGAAGACTGTGCGCGCACCACAAGAGTATGAAGTACCAGGTTGACTGGTGGTTAAGTTCTTCATTTAGCATGATTGTTTGATCTGACTACAGCACTTTAAAGCTAAATATAAAAGCTTTTTATTTCAAACTTAAATTAAATGTATTTGAAAGCTGGCCAAAGTTTTTATTTTTGTATGAAGATATAATGTAATAGCAAAATACATTTAATTTGTTGTGTTTCTTTTCTTTTAAATTGTATGTCTACTGCAATACTGTTTTTGCAAAAACTACAATAAAACCTGTTGGAAAGCATCTTTTGCAGTGATTTTTGTGTGAGCATATCAGTGAACACCCCAGACCCCTCGGTGAGTTTCACGTCTTAGTAAACTAAAGTTTAATGCGTTTTATGAATGATTGTTCCAGTGCACATAGACAACCATTGTGTAGGTGGAGGGTGCTAACACACAAACCTAAAATTCTCGGGACAGCAGCATTTGTCCAAATTTCAATCTTAACCGTTCTATTTCATCAGAAACGATCTTAAAACAGGGCTTTAAGTGTAAAATACCGAACTAACCCTTTAAACTACAGAAGTACTCATAGAAATAAGCATTTAAATATATAATTACTGGGAGAAACTGAGGGACAACTAGTATATGATGTGTTGAGATGTAGGTATTTTATTTTAGTATCAAATTACAATATTTCCCCCCAGTTTGGGTAATTTGGGTAATGGATTTTTTTCTTCCTCAAGTATAAGTAGGTGATAGCATATATAATTATATACGAGTCATACAAGTCTGAAAAACTAAGTTTTTTTAAAGTTTTTTAAGTCATATGATACAAAACAAACATCCAAACAATTTTATATGGTATTTAATATTTTGTATTAAAGGTTCTCTAAGCGATCCTGGGTGTTGTTGACGTTCGGAATATTTTCAAACAAATCGGAGGCTAGCTAGACCCTCCCTCCTCCGCATCTCATCTCCTCCCCCTCCCTTCCGTGCTTCCTGAAATATTTGTGAACGTGCATAGTTCTAGCTAATTATATCCTTGTGTGGGTTTGGCGAACATAAGCGTCAATTTAGAAGAAAAAAACCAATTTAACGTTACCCACCTGTCCAGCAAAAACAGAGCAACCTGAATGTCGGACTGGAAGCCCTTCTGCCGCCGGAGTTCTCGCCATCGTTCAAAAGCTTTGCTACCGATGTAAATTCGGAACTTCGCACATTCTTTATCCGACTCCTTCTTTTTAATTTGTTCTTCAGAACGACGTCTCTTTGGGCGTGTTTCAGCCATTATTCAAACTTCCCTCGGATGCTTCTCTGAGTCTCTCCTTCACACACACACACCCTTCATGTACACGCGCACTAACCCCCCAGACCCACCCTCAAATACTTCTTGCCAGTGATTGGCTGGAACACTGTTTATTAGGTTTCGTGGTCCGGGTAAGACATGATTGTTTTTGTTGCCGTTTGTGGAGCCTGTGGTGTCTACAGAGACCGCGTTTTATTACAGTGTGTTTAGGGGACAGGCAGCTAGCCGATAGTGAGGAGACGTTTGATGTATGTGACAAAAAATTTTTTGGCCCCACATCGCTTAGAGAACCTTTAAGTTGTGATAAACTGTCTCCACACACACACAACGCCAGTAAAGAGACGACTCAAAGCCTGCGATATGTTATGGCGCCGTTTTATACATAAACAATATTTATATATAAACAATATGAATGTAAGCCAGAGGAGAACTGGCCCCCGACTGAGCCTGGGTTCTCCCAAGGTTTTTTCTCCATCCAATCTGATGGAGTTTTGGTTCCTTGCCACTGTCGCCTTGCTTTTGGCTTGCTTAGTCGGGGTTACTTAATATTTAATATTTAACAATATTATTGATCTGTGTTGTACTACTTTCATGTTATCACTGTGAAGCTGCTTCGAGACAATCTGTATTGTGAAAAGCGCTATATAAATAAATGTGACTTGACTTGACACACACACACACACACACAAACAGCTTTAAAGCTATAGCTTCATGTTTATAGGGATAAATGCATTTTTCAGATGAGAGTAAAATATGACAAAATATATAAAAGACTTACAGAGCTCTTCTGGATGTTTTGATGACTGCCGATAATCTGATGAGACACTCGTCTGATTTCTTGAATTTCTGAAGCTCAAACTCCTCCAGCTCTTCCTCTGATGTCAACAACACAAAGGCCAAAGCAGACCACTGGGCAGGTGAAAGGTCACCAGATGAGAGACTTCCTTTGCTAAGGTGGGTCTGAATCTCATTCACCAGAGTTTGGTCGTTCAGTTCATTCAGACAGTAGAACAGATTGATGGATCTCTCTGCAGGAAGATTAGCTTCTAATTTCTGCTTGATGTACTGAACTATCTCCTTGTTCCTCTGGTCAGTGTCGTCTCTCTTTGTCAACCGACCTCGTAAGAGTCGTCGAACTGTCCCCTCGTTGCTCTGGTCAGTGCCGTCTCGCTGTGTCAACAGACCTCGTAAGAGTCGTCGATTGGACTGAAGTGACAGACCGAGGACGAAGCGAAGGAAAAGGTCCAGGTGTCCATTGTCACTCTCCAGCGCCTTGTCCACTGCAGTCTTGAGAAAATCAATCATGGTTTCATTTCTGTTTTCCTGTTCTGTAGACTCATGATCAAACACACTTCTCTTGTTGATGTCTAGAAACAGATGTGCATAAAGGGCTGCAATAAACTCTTGAATGCTCAAGTGAACAAAGCAGTACATAGTACCAAGAACGATCCCTGTTTCCTCCTTAAAGATCTGGGTACACATGCCTGAGTACACTGATGCCTTATAGACGTCAAGACCACAGGCTTCCAGGTCTGTGTCATAGAAGATCAGGTTGTTTCTTTCCAGCTGTTGAAATGCCAGTTTCCCCAGTGAAAGGATGGCGTCTTTATCCCAGGAAACATCTGGTGTGTATTCTCCATCATATTTCCGGCGGCTCTGCTGGATCTGAAAGCGGAGAAAGTGTGTGTACATTTGTGTCAGAGTCTTGGGAGTGTCTTCAGTGTTTGATTCCTGCAGTGTTTTAGAGATCTCATCAGCCTGAGTGTTTCTCACATCATTATTTCTCTTCTCCACCAGAATGTTCTGGAGAACAGTGGCTGAAATCCAGCAGAAGACTGGGATGTGGCACATGATAAAAAGACTCTTTGATTGTTTAACATGATCAATGATTGTGTTGGCTTGAACATCATCCTTGAATCTTTTTTTGAAGTACTCTTGCTTTTGTGCGTCGCTGAATCCTCGTATCTCTGTCAGCCGGTCGATACAGTCAGGAGGAATCTTACTGGCAGCTGCTGGTCTGCTGGTGATCCAGACGAGAGCAGAAGGAAGCAGATTTCCCTTCATGAGGTTCGTTAGGAGAACATCCAGAGAGGCTGGTGACGATACATCACGCCACGTCTCATTACAATCAAACTTCAGAGGAAGGCGACATTCGTCCAGTCCATCAAGGATGAACAGCACTTTGAACTGATTCTTTCTTGTAAGGTTCAGTCCTTTTGTCTCTGGGAAAAACTGAGTTATAAGGTCCATCAAACTTAGTTTTTCTTTCTCCTTTAAGTTCATCTCTCTGAATGGAAGAGGAAATATGAAGCTGATATCTTGATTTTCTTTTCCTTCAGCCCAGTCCAGAACAAACTTTTGCACAGAGACTGATTTCCCGATGCCAGCGACTCCTTTTGTCAGTACAGTTCGGATCTCCTCGTCTTGTTCAGGCGCTTCAAACAAATGTGTGCATTTAACCTGTATCTCTTGTGCTTCATGACGTCTGGAAGCAACTTCAATCTGTCTGACCTCATGTTCAGTATTGACCTGTTCACTGCCACCCTGAGTGATGTAGAGATCTGTGTAGATGTTATTCAGGAGTGTGGAGTCACCTTGCTTCGCCATTCCTTCAAACACACATTGATATTTCTTCTTTAGGCCACATTTCAGCTGATGAATGAAGACCAGCTCACCTAAACATAGGAACAGAAAATAGATAGTTTGTCTTCATTTTCTCTCCTACATTTATAAGAGACAATCAGACAGATGATGACGAGTCTCTTGCCTTCTAGAGCATCAGCAGCTTCATCTTGCTTCATCTCTCTCAGGTAATGTAGTGTGAGATCAAGAGCTGCTGATTTGATACTGGATCTGTTCTCATTAAAGTCCTTCACAAAGTGTTGTGTGTTCTCATGTTGTAATATTTTCTTTAACTTCTCCAGTTCATTCTTCAGAAATGTGATTATTTTGCTCTCAAGATCCTACAAACAAAAGTAAGAGAAAAGACAAAATAAAACAATTAAAGCCAAATTGTACATCTACATTTGGTCAAAACTATTTTTTTTGATAATTATAGTACATCCAGTTAAAAGACTAACATGCTAACCAAGTTTTGCTGAAATGTGTTTAAAAGGAGAAAATAAGTTGAAGAAAAATGTAATTAAATGTCTTTGTTCAATAACATATTTGTTTTACTCTTATAAAAATGTGTTTTCTTACCTGGAAGATCCCAAGAAGATTGTCTTTGAAATTCTCGTGGTTCCTGTGAGTCTGAAGGTCTGAGTCTAATGTCTCATATTGAAGCCTGTAATCACATTAGTAAAATAAAATACTAACTGATATTTTACAGAAAGAGAAATAAGCATTAGCTGTGAATACTCTGACAAATATTTGATCTAAACATGTTTAGACACACACACAAAATACCTTTTATAAGATGATGGTGTTTTCTCACTGAACTTTGGTGGACAATCATTAGACTGATCACTCTTCAGAGACACAGAGCTGGACACATGTGAGCCTGATCTTACACTGATGACACAAAGAACATTTGAAAAGGTTTAATGTTGCAAATAGTAATTAAATGCAGTATAGAGAGCCTAAGTCCCGCCCCTCCGCTTCCGGCTCATGGGACCTTATTTCGGAAAAAATATGAATGGTAGTCAATGGCGAGAGACAACTTATCTTTTTATTCCGTCTGAACTGTGCCCTGAATTACACATATGATGTTTGTCAATTTAAAAGATAATTCTGAAAGTAAAAAACGTTGCAGTTTGTCATAAAACAGAAGAGTGACTTTTAGTTTTATGTGAAAATCTCTCAATGAACTACAGTACATCTCCCGGGAAGAGAAACAATGAGCAAGATTCGCTGCTCGTGTGTGTGCAGTCTGGTACAACATACTCAGGCATGATGGCGCAACGTTACGATTACAACGTAAGACTGTAGAAACAATGACAGACAGCCTCAGTAAAGTTAGCTTCATTTATTGAGAGAAAATGTGCGTCTTTGGGGTTTGTAGTCTTTGTAATTACGTATTTTCACAGTCTTATACCTCAACGGTTTTACATCAAACTGCGACTTTCTTTACTTTAAAATGTATCTTTTAAATTGACAAACATCATATGTGTAATTCAGGGCACAATTCAAACAAAATCAAAATATTTGTTGTCTCTCGCCATTGACTACCAAACAATATTTTTCCGAAATAAGGTCCCATGGTGGTCGTCTGGTCGACTGGAAGGGGAGGGTCTTTGGCTCTCTATAGCTGTGCATTTGTTCAATTATAACTACAGTTGGATGGATGGACATGTTTAGTTGCATGATCTATTTTCCATGTTGAATTTATGCCTCCTTGTGTCTGCCTGTGTAACTGTGTTACTGGAGTGAGTTTCATAAATCCCCTTACACAGTCAAGTTCAATCACACACACCACTGTGGACAAATAATACAACCCTATAATGTAATGTAAACACACAAAATACCTTTTATCAGATGATGTTGTTTTCTCACTGAACTTTGGTGGACAATTATTAGACTGATCACTCTTCAGAGACACAGAGCTGGACACATGTGAGCCTGATCTTACACTGATGACACAAAGAACAGAGAGAGAGAGAGAAAACACTTTAGTAAAGGAGGATCAACTGTGTCTGAAACACATCTGTGTCTTTATCTAATCCTCCACAGAAACACACACACTCACACACACAATTTACAGTTTTATAGTTAACCATCATTTTATTTACTGGCTCACATTAGTTTAACAATTTCTTTAATATACATGAGTGAGATTAAACATTTTAAATATACTTTAATTTAAGAGAACATGTCAAGTGTTTGTTTATTGACAGAAATGGAGAGCAGAAATTGAATTAAATTAAGTGTATAGTTGTTTTCTAATGTCTGTCAATAATTTTATGATCTAAAAACTGTGATATTTTCTATAGACCAAACAGGGCTTTATAAATAATGTCACTTTTAATTTTAGAAGTTAAAATTGAAGTTGTGCAAAGCATTTGTAAATATAGAGCAATGCTTAAAGTTGTGTTATTGACAGGGAAACACAAAGTCCAGTGGAGTTTAAAGTGAGAGTGTGAAAACAGACGCAGTCTCACCTGTGTTTCTCTGAGAGACTCATCTGAGAGAGAGAGTCCTTTCCTCTTTCCTCTGACATACTGCAGCTAAACTGACCCTGAAAACTGATCAGAAAACACTCAATCCTTCAGCATCACCTGCAAATCACAACATTTACACACATCAACAACATCTTATTGAAGAATTAAGTTATCATCAACAACAGCAAAAACAATCTATCAAATAAAGTGAGTTACAAACAAATATATTGCCATGTAAAATAACCGAATGCTCTTAATCATTTCTGATTGTTTAATGAGTTAAACTGACTCTAAATATGAATTCATTGGGGAACAGAAATGTACAAATGTGCTGGTAAACTGAACCCTATTTGTTATATTCTCTATTACAGTATAATATCATTTTACAATCACATTTACCCAATCTTTATTAATTGTTGAATCGTCCCTCATTACTTCAAGTTCACAATATCTGATTAAATAAAAGTAACCAGAATTATAAAAAAAAATACTGTCATACCAATAATTGCTATATGAACTGAAATATTCAGTTTCATTTAAAATATATACACAATCAAGGCTTCTTTTGTCTGTCTACTGTAAATGTCTGCTTCAAAAATACTTTCACATCGATTCACATCACACAAACAACAGCCTAACACGGAAGAGGAAATGGGGGAAAACTTTCAAAAACATTTTTGTTTTCAATAACCCTTTCTCAATAAAAGTTTTTGTGTTTTTACTTCAAAAGATTGTAATTTCTGGCAGATTCTTCTTCTGTTCAGAGTAGCAGAAGAACATCCGTAACTTCACATTTAAATCTCGCTTAATATACAATATGAAGTTAATAATGACAAATGACTGTAATGGAGAATGTAATAAACTTACTTGCAGTCTTGTCCACTAAGAAGATTATTTATCAGTATTTTAAACTCAGTAACGCTTGCTGTCAGTCCGCGCGCGTCGTTCTCAGAATCTCTTGCTGGTCTCGATGGATTGTGGATTAAACACATAAATGTCCGCGAGTGTTATTAGATTTGGTAGGCATTGGGTGTGGACAGTTGTTACATTAGACACTGAAGCTTCTGTAACCTTTATATTTGCTATACTAGTTCATTATTTTCACGAAGAGTTACAGCATCAAGAGATAAGGGTTACACTTCTAAGCGCGTATTGAGTTCGCAGCGCAATCTCTCATGAAGTGCCGGAGCCCGTATTATTATTAACAGAGAAAAACGTGATCAACGAGACATTTTTTGTTTTTTTGTTTTTTTTAGTCCATGAATGCTTCACTTTGCGTGTCGGAATGTTTGAACTCACTCTACAGGTTTGTGGAAGTTTAAGTCCATACTAACATTGTTTTTTTGTTTTTATTACAGAGCCTAGCCTATGTCTCATGATCATATATTCTGACAAGGACAGAAGATCAGACCACCTCAGAAAAGGTAAAACCATCACAGAAATTCTAATTGTTTCTATCAAAATATTAATAGGAACCATTGGCTTTTACCATTTAAACCATTACAGAATTATTATTATTATTATTATTTTGTAGTGTGTTTGGGACATTCCAGTAGAGACCACTTTAATTCCCATTACAACCAATAAAATTCCCATTTTTTTTTTTAGCAGGGCAGTATCACGTGTGAACGCTTTATCTTGTTTATCTGTGGGAAGCAGAACTCTGTAACTTGTAAACTGGTTGGACTGGTTTTTTATGTTGAAAAAGGACGTGCTTGTGTAACTGGTTGGGGTTTTTTGAAGTTTTTGTCTTTCTCCATATCATTCAGTACATATGTAAAAATATTTGTATGCAGAAATGTCAAAGAACTAGCCTTATTCGGGGAAACAAGTTTAAAGTGTTCCCAAACTTGGGGACGACTTCTCTTTTTCGACATACAGCCGCCAGGTTTCAAACCTGTCAACACTGGATTGGCTCTGTCAAAGCAGAGTCAGGATGGTTCACTACGGGAATGATTCAGTGTGTTTGCTTCAGACGGCATTTTCATGTGACTGGTGACGTATGAAGCAAGCATTTTTTTCTTTTTCTTTTTTTTAACGATACAAACAGTAAAAACACACAAATAAAGTCATTAATGCAGAAGACAAAATATTAGACAGGAACATTAGCCAGGGGGAGTATCAAATAAATGCATTAAAAATAGAGCATAACTGAATGGTTTTAGCAGCCTCCTTATCTTTTGAATCATAGATGGATTTGATGTACTGTTCAGTCTCCTTGTCAAAAGCAATAAAGGAAGGTTTGGAATTAAATTTGGCTGTGTGAATATGATATTTCCCTAAAATTATCAATAGATTAATTAGATATATTTTGGTCTGTTTTTTTTTTTCCTTTGTTAACATGAAGACCAAACAGCACATCCCTCCAAAACAAAGAGAAATCAGCAATAATGCTGCGTTCATGTGCTATAGTAATTATGGTAATTACCAAAAGCCGACGTGGAAAATGCACATGAACACCCCCTCATGTGGTATTTTCCATTGGGCAACTCGTTGAATATTTTGATGGACGAGTTGCCGAGATGAGATAACCTTTGATCTTTTCAAAATGGCGGAGAGCACGCGAGAGTCGTGAATGGTAAAAATATATACTATTCATGATCTAGAAAATATAGGGTACAGCATATTATACCTTTTGAGTTTTGATAAATCATTTTCTTGATGTTGCAGATGACTTAAACAATCTAAAATTGATTAAAATACCAGTAAATACCAGTTCACAAGTGGAAAATATCCTATTTTCCATAGCACGTGAACGCAGCATAAGTCTAACAGTAATAAAACGGGACAGATCTTTCCAGACAGTGATGGTGTAGGGACATTGCCAGAACAGGTGTACCATTGTTTCTGGACATACTCCACATAAAGAACTGTTGACACACACGTCAAGCTTAAACCTAAGGAGATATTGCTTAGCAGGATAATATCTATGTATAATTTTGAAAGAGATTTCTCTTACTTTATTCGTAAGAAGGTATTTGTTGTTAATTCAGGTTGTCAATAAAATTAGACCAATAGGGGACAACATAGGTGTGCTGGTGACATCTCTCTGGAATAAAGAGCGAATATTACGATTCCTCGTTGTGGTTGCGAAACATATATTACCAACTGAGGTCAGCTTAGGGTCCAAAGTAGGCAATCTGGTTTTCCAGTCCCTTTTAAAAGAGCTAAAATACCAGATGGGATG